GGAGGAGAGGAGGGGGGGGAGGAGGAGAAGGGGGGGAGGAGGAGGGATGAGGAAGAGGAGGGGGAGGGGGGAGGAGGAGGAGGAGGACGAGGGGGGAGGAGGGGAGGAGGAGGAGGAAAAGAAGCCACTGGCCGAGGAGGGGCGGGGCCGTCGTCGCCTCATCGGTCGCCCCAGTCGGCCAGGGCTCGCGCGCAACGCGCCGTGGGCGCAGCGGCCGCGGCGGCAGGCGCCGCCGCCCCCGCGACGCCCGGGTGTAAATAAGAAGCCTGGCACCGCCGTGCCAGGGCCCAATGCGGTCAGGACAGGCTGCTCGTCAGGCTGGCGGCCGCCGCCAGCAGGCTGGAGCGGCGCAGCAGGGCGCGGCAGCCCCAACGCCACCAGCAGCAGCCACAGTGGACGAACGACCAGCGCTACCAGCAGGAGGGGGTGGCGCAGCAGAGTCGATGGGCGGGCGCCGCCAATGGCCAGACCGATAGCGCGCGGTCATCAGGATCACCAGTTGGGGCGGAGCCATGGCCATGGAGGAGGCAGTCGCGCGGAAGACCCATCGCCAACTACTGCCAGAAGACTTGCCAGGGCGGCGACTGCTGGAGAAGACGCTCTGCGAGGTCAGCTTCGGCAAGGTTAAAATCTTAACGGCCAGCGGGGAAGCGCGGGGGGGGGGAGGAAAGAGGGGCGCAAGGGCCCCTAACCGCTGCTCTCTCTCTCTCTCTGGCTTTCCCCAGGAGGTGGAGTTCACGAAGAGGCATGCTGACGTCGTCGAGGAAGTCCACCCCTCTACCATCCAGGGCGCCAGGCAGCACGACAGCTTTGGCAGCCCGCTCTCGGAGAAGGATCGCGCGATGAGGCTGATGTGGATCCGCGCGAAGCGAAGCCGTATGATGAGTTTGGCGGATCAGATCTGGGGCGCACGCGCAGCGGGGGTGGATGGCCGAAGTTGGTTGAAGAGCTTGCGGTCGCAATGTGCATGTGTGTGCTCACCCGCCTCGTTCGCGAACGATTACGAACGCATCGGCATGATTTGGAAGCGCTCCTCGGCCAAAAGAAAGACATCGCCAAACAGAAGCAGCAGCTGATGCAAAAACAAGCTTGCTATCGAGGCCAAGATCAAGAGCCTCAGCGCCCTCGTCCAAGAAGCGAAGCACGACGTGAATAGCGACGGGGGCAACTGCGACACGAGCTGCGACGCCGACGATTCCGCGCAAGGATAGCAAGAACGTCGAGCCCAAAGACCACGCGGATCAAGAGGCAGAACCCCGTGCCAGAGACATCGAAAACCACCATTCGTTATAGAACCGAAAACAGCAGCGTCTACGACCGCAGCGAGCAACGCGGGCAGAAAGCCAGTGTCCACGAGCAATGCCAACATGCCAGCAACGATCCCATGCCGTGGACGACGCCCAGGACCTGCCCAACCTCATTTCAGATCTGGCCGGGAAGGTAGGACGTCAGCAGCAGCGCGCAGGCGTCCACCAGCACCGCCTCGCCTTCTTCCACCAAGCGCAGCAGACCAGCCATCAGAAGGAGAAGCAGCAGGCGGAGCGCCGCGAGGAGATGAAGGTAATGCATGAGAGAATGGAAATAATACGTAAGGGTTTCGCAAACGACAAAATGCACAACGTGCAGCTCGCGGAGAATGCTATGCCATGTGAACTACAGCAACAAGAACAACGGCTCCAATAACAATTTCGGGTGGACAGAGCACATGCGCAAAAAAAGGAGGATCGACACTGAGGATGAGAAGCTAGAGGAAGTCCAGGAGGCACGGGAGAAAGAATTGGACTCCGAGAAGCTCGCCCTGAACATGCGGAAAGCTCAGTACCAGCAGGGCTATGACTGCGCTCAGCAACGGCTACTACAAGTCGAACCTGCCAGACAAGCCTACGACATGCTCAGGGAATATGAGCAGAGGAGTCGACGACAGCACGATTACACCAATCAGGAGCAGCAGCGACATCTCGCAGTCGCCCAGACCAACACCAACTTTGAGCAGGACACCATCTGAAACGTCAAAGGACTACTACTTGAAGAGCATGGCGACTTACGAGCGCAGCAACGCAATGCGTGCAGGCTACAGGGCGAGTGCAAGCAAGAGAGCGCCCAGCTACGACATACAGAACAACAGATGCACGCCCATTTCGCGATCAACATCCAGCTGAACGAAGAGAAGCTCCTGGAGGAACGGGCGCACTTGCAAGCCGAACTACGTCAAGCTGAAGATCAGGAAGACAGAATTGGCATCGACCTACTGAGAGAACTCGACGCTCGGATGAGTGAGCGCGGCGAGGAGGAGATGATAAGGCAAGCCATCGCTGACTTGGAGCAGAAGCGCGTGGGCCACGAGATGGAGGGTGCACTGCGGTCAAACCTACCAGGACAGCGCGAACAATCTACCCGGGGCGTCGACGCCTACATTGAGCAGCTCAGGATCACGGGGCAATGAGAAGACACCACCAACACCTGCACCATCGACCCAGAAGCTCGGAGCTTGCAATGCTTGAGTACTCCCCCAAGCCCTCCGCCCCTTCACCCGCTAACCGCCCCGCAACCGATGTGCCCCGAGACTCCCGCCGACCTCGCGCGACGACCGGTCCATGGCCAATGGGGGCAGCGATCCGCAGAGGACCTCTCGGAATTCGCGCGGGAGCTTGCTGGGTCGTCGAGCGCATTTACCGAATCAAGCATCAACGACATCACCGTAGCGACTGACAGCGACCAACGCCTGACGGGGATGACAGACAAGCCACGTCCAACGCAACGTTCGACGGCGCCCCCGAGGCCGCCGCGCCCAACGCACCCAGATGACGAGAGCCGCCCAATCACCCCAACCCCCATTGCCGACGACGGCTGCGACAACGCCGAGCGGCTAGCTGGCACACTGAAGGCGACAACTCCCATGCCAGACGCGACGCCTGCGACCCCGACCTATTTACCACTCCGACCCAACATGTGACTCGGACACCCGAGGCACCACCTACCTCATGAAACCCATCCATGCCGACTGAGCAGCCCACTCCGCATTTCTTCCCCGAAGTCAGAGCGATGTCAGCACCGCCAATTTCCAGAAGGGAAGATATGGAGCAGCCTGCGCCGCCCGTAACCGCGGTGCTGATCGACCTCAGCATCGACGAATATGACGACCCGATTGTGCCGCGGCAGCAAAACGGGGGAAGCATCGCGCCGACGCAACCTATCGAACCCGTGCCCCCCGCGCCGAGATTCCACATCGGCACCCTAGAGAGGTCGAAGTCCGCCCCGCCAGCTCGATCCAAATCGGCGCTGAGGAGAAAAGGTCATGCAGGGCGCCCAACGCGAAAGGTGAGAATCCAGGACGCAGGCGACGGATTCCAAGAACCAGCAGACCGAGTTCCAGTTCGAGCTGACGGAGACGAGGACAGCTCGGACGCAGCACTACGAACAAACAACTGAGCAGGGCCGATCCTGTTGGGGGCGCGCTGGCCCAACAGGGGGGTCCAAAGCGACCAGTGCAAGACGCCCGTCCTGGGCTTCAACCTCATATTTATCTGCGGCTCCAGACTGGCGTCCTCTCTCAGTCCGAAGTTCATGCAGCAGCGAGTTCGTCGACCCCTGCGGTGGCAGCCACCTGCGACGTGACTCGACCTCGTGCCCCACTAGGGGGGGGGGCCCGCGTCAACCTGCGCAGACCCACGCTGCCTCCAAAAACAAAATCAATAAACGCGTGCCAGCAAACCTGCACCACTCTACCCGGCGAGATAGACGTGATGCTCGAGGACGCACAGTGGGAGAGCTACTCGCGCGACTCTCTTCGCGGGGGCACAGTTGCCAGCGGGGCCGACGCGAACCCGCCAGCCAACATGCATTTGGGATGGCATGATCGCCGCCGCGGTGGCGACGTCGACCGAATGCAACGCGCCGTGCTGGAGAGGGGCCCTCCAGGCGGCTCTGCACCATCCAGCCACTTCCTCGGTCGCCGCGACGGCTCCTGGAGCGCCTCCGACGCCGAGACCGACATGGCACCGCGCAGTGTAGTGCGCTTCGGGTGCTCACCAGGGGGGAGGTGGAGCCTTCCCGAGCGCCCGCGCGGCGAGGCAGACGGCTGCCAAGACCATCGCAATCGACCTCTGCGACGCCATCATCAAGTGCAGGGCCTGGGGCTCGCCCCCATCGAGGGCACAGTGGCCCCTGGCCATGGCGGGGCGAGGTGGGGCAGCAGCGAACCCCGCTGGAAGTCGGTGCATGGAGGCCTTGCAGACCCACCCGCAACTAACACCGCACAACCAGACACCAACCGATCGCCCACCGACCCACGACAGAGCACGCAGCACAAGCAGACACAAGGTCTGGGGTCCGCCTCCGCCGAGGGCACCGTGACCCCTAGCCGTAGCGGGGCGAGGTGGGGCCGCCACGAACCCCGCCTGAAGTCGGTGCATGGGTGCCTTGTTAATACGCCCACGACTAACGCGGCAACACCACCAGCAGCCCAACCACCCACCCCACCGTTCATCACCACTCGGCAGGCCACGCGATCGACAGACAGGCCACGACCTGGCGCATTGCTACCCGTTCGACATCCACGACCGAAACCACAAACAGCAACAACCCAACGTCCGCAGCTTACAACACAACCAGCCACAACCAGACCACCTGCACCACAACGAAAAGCTATGCAACCTTTCCGACTTACACGGCTAAGACCACAAACCCGTGACGAAGCACCTGCGGAGGCCAACGACGCGGCGACCATTTTTGCGCCCCTTGCGGTGCAGGCAACTTGCAGTGACCTCCCGCCACCGCCACCGCCCATGCGACCACCGGCACCCGGACGCAACCTTCATTTCAGCCCAAGACCGCCCATGCTTGCCACTGCCAAAAACAGTGCCCCACCAACCTTGACATTCGAAGTTGACCAAAGAGAAATGAACGAAACAGCAGACCACGTTCTCCGACATTTTCCTCCAAGGCCTCTACTACAAGAGCGAAGGTTTCACTTGTTCACCGACGGCTCCAAGAACCCCGAGGAGAGCGAGGGCGACGCCTGGGCAGTCATCATCGTCGGGGAGGACGCCAGCTTCACTGTCCAGGGAGCCATAGTCGGGAATCATAAATATGGTTCTACTATTGGAGCCAGCGGCCACAGCATCTCGAAAGCTACGTCGACCACCGTCGAGATTGCCGCCCTCATCTGGGCCTTCGCCTACGTCATCTACCTTGACCACGACAACATCACTACCGTATATACTGATTCATTGGGAGCCCTGCACTTGGCTATTCGGCATGCCTTCACCGACCACGACGCCGAGCTTGCGAAGACTCTCTGCTTTTTCTACGACATCGTGAAAGACCGAATCGAGCTCAGATACGTCCACGCCCACGAGCATAACCCGTGGAACGAACTCGCAGACGCGGCAGCTAACCGCGCCCGCCTACAATCCGTCGCACACACCATGCCAGTCTCGAGTGATGCGATGGACGTCGCGTGCCAGGGAGACTGGGAGTTCCTCATCGAAGCCGATGTGAACACAAGGGGAGCATGCCCGAAGCTGATGAACGACCACCTGCGCGCGCCGAAGTTCTCGACGACTGCCAACAAGGAACGCATCCATCGAGACGCCGACGAGAAGAAGAGGGATACAGAGGTCACGGTCACTTTCGCCACCTACAACTTCCACACAGGACGCCAACGGAGTCCAGGAGCAATAACAAGGCATCAAACTATATCCCGCCTAAAGAAGGTGATGGCCGCGATCTACGACGAAGACATCCATGTCATTGGTATTCAAGAGTCCTGTGCCGTCTTCGGCCTTAGGGGCTCGACCGAGGCAGCCTGTGTCAGCGCCAACAGCTACCGCGTCATCGCAAGCGGCCACGACACATTCAACTTGGGATGCGAATTGCATGTTCTTACATCAGAACCATGCGGCAGGCGCGGCCACATCTTACTTTTCTTCTGACCAGACAACTTCGTCGTCATCCAAAAAAGCCCCAGGGTTCTCCTCCTCAAGGTCTCGGCGACTGGCTTCCAGCAGACCATCTGCGTATGCCATTCTCCGCATGCTCGGTCCACCTCCCCCAGCGAGAAAGATTCCTTCTGGGGCGCGCTATTCGAGCTTGCCAGGCAGCACCGCATCTCGATGATGAGGATCGACGCCAACGCTCGGGCGGGTTTCATATCCAGCTCAGCAATCGGCCCAGCCGGCCTATCGCAGCAAGAAGATGACAACGGCACGAGATTCCACGAGGTCCTCCTCGCTCATAATCTGTCAGCGGCCAATGCTTTCCAGAGTGGAGGGGACAATCGCCGCGCGTGGAGTTCCAACGCCAGCCCACACCGCATCGACTACACCGTTATCGAGATGGACATGCCCAGCTGCATCACGGAGTGTTCCACCATGTACGGCATCGACAGCGACGACATCCTCGAGAAGAAGGGCGACCATCACCCAGTCCGTGCCACGATACAGTACCAAATCAACACCACGAGGTCTACGACAACCGTAGAAGCAAAGCTGGGAGACCCCGGCTATATAAATAAATGTGCCGACGCGCTGGCGGGGGTACCCCGCCCCGCATGGGGCACCAACATCAACGACCGCGTCAGCACCATCACTGAAGCTATCGCAAATACAGCTCGGCAGGTTTTTAGACGCGACCGACCTACGCCACGCAAGCCATGCATCACTACAAGGTCATTTACCTCACTACGGGCCAGACGTGCAACAAGAAAGACCATGCGGATAGTCAAGTGCAATGGGCCCTCATCAAGGACGACCAAAACAAGAATGAATTACTTCATCAACATCCTTGCCAACGACGCCCTGCTCCCAGACCCCGGCGACGGCATCTACCTCCTGGACCTGCCGAGCTACGTTTCCTTGGTGACGTCTGCAACCATTTGCCCGTCAAGCAAGACATCAGCATATCGGCAAGAGGAGGCGTCTCTCGGAGTATGCAACCAGGCTTGCAACTTCGTGGTCACAACAAACCATGCCATCATAAGGTGGATCGCGACGGGCAGAGACGAGTTCCTCGAGAACATAGCAGACGGCAGGAAGACCTCGATCTGTAACAACACCCCCAAGGAATAATTGGTCGCGGCTCGCAAGCTACTAGCCTTCGCGGGGAAGCCGCCCAAGAAACCCATTACCCAATCCGAGATTCACCTGTTGGAGAGGTCCTCACGAGCAAGACCGACATCGCTGACCACGCTCTCAGGTTGTACGGCTCGATCGAGCACGCCAAGGAGACCACTGCCGACGGAGTGGCAAGGTACTGCAACCAGCACAACCACGACAACCCTGACCCACTCATTAGCAACATCAGGACCATCGGGCAGCTCACTACAATACTGGCTGGAGCACGCCCAGGAAGACGTGGGGGCTTAGATGGCATCACAGACGACATGGCAAAGGCAGCCCCATCATCGCTGGCCCGACTAATTCACCCCATCCTAGTCAAGGCGCAGGTGCAGTCCATCGAGCCACTAGCAGCGAACTGCGATTTCTCGACACAATTCTACAAAGGAGCAGGAGCCCTTGACAAACAGCAGTCCTATAGAGGTATTTCAATGATGCTGAGCAATACCATCGGCAAGATGCATTCCTCCTTCCTGCGATCCAGGGTCAAGAAGCTGCTCCCCTCTATCCTCAGCGCGGCCCAGTGCGGGGCGCGACTCCGCATGGCCACGGACTTCGTTACTCGCGCCATCCTGGCCTTCGTCGCGGATTGCAGGCAGAAAGGGAGATGGGGGGCCATCATATTCGCCGACCTACGAGAAGCATTTCCACTCCGTGACCAGGGAGTTCACCATGGGGCTTCCCGCTGCCACCGTGGAGCTTGACGACCTCATTGACAAGATCGGTATCCCACCGTGGCTCAGACCAGTCCTGGCGCAGAACTTGCAGCGCCCAGAAGATGCTATTCAAAAGATCGAGGACGAACACCTCTGCGAGATGATCTCGGACCACCGCGCCCCCAATTGGATGGCAGCCCGAGGGGCCGCGCACTATCCGGGGCCAACCGCGGAAACCCGACCGGGAGTACCCTTCTCCGGCGTAGCTTTCAACGTGCACTTCGCCGTGCCCCTGCGCGCGATTGATAAGGGCGCCAACTCCCAGCGCGACAACTACGACGGCCATCCTATCCCGCCCTGCCCGAACCCAGTATTCGCTCAAGGGCAACACGACGGAGACGCACTACTTCAGCTATCCTATGTTGACGACCTCACCAGGGTCATATCTACAGCCAACACTACAGACCTGGTTGACGCGACAACCGCGGTAGCCACCAACATTTGCCAGACTGCCTTCTCTTTCGGTCTCAAGCCGCACCCCGAAAAGACAAAGGTTATTCTCAATTTCTACGGCAACATTGCAGGGGCGGAAAAGCAGATAATGGCAACGGGCCGCATCGGCACCCTCGGCCTCCCTGCCATCAATATAAAGCTGAAGATCACCGACCAGCAGAAGGCCTTGGGCACGTTCATCACTACTGGGGCCGCAACGGGACCCGACGCCAGACTTCGAGCCAAGCGATCCGCCGCAACGGCTACAGCCCTGGAGCGGCAAATCCCACGAAGAACAGGACTCCCAACAAAAGCCGATATCAAACATGTATATGCCCTATCTACCTCTGCACTTACGTTCACTCACCACATACGGAACGGCCTGACGAAAAAGGACAATAAGTTCATGGAGGTTAAGTATCCAGGGCCGTACCGTGTCGCCATGGGGCTACCGAAGGCCAACTCTCCTACCCTCCATATCACAGCGAGGGAAGCTATAGCAGCCACGGGGTCCCTGACTTTTCAACCCACCAGTCAATAGCGCGACTCAAATACCTACCTCGACTACTTAACAACGCGCTACGAGTACTGCTACGACCTTGACAACATCGCTACTGTTAAGCGAGGATGGGCCCAGCTGCTCAATAATGACCCTCAGACCTGGGAGATGGCATGCCGACGGTCAAGAGGATCACCACATCATCGACTGGGCTCGGCGGAAGCCGAAGGAGTTCAACTCGGCAGTTGGCACAGCTACCAATGCATTCCTAAGACACGCATGCGAATATGCCAAGACGGACAGACCAAGTCGGGATATCGGATGTGCCCAGCAGGACCCCGCCAACGCACGCTCGGTTACAGACTCACCGATCACGGAGTACATCTGCTACACTTGCGAAAGGGTCACTGCCACTAAGCAGGGGATGGCCGTGCACATGGGAAGAGAACGCAAGCGCCGCGACGACCCCCGACATTGGGCGACAGGCACAGCGTGCCGATGCTGCCAAACGGAGTTCCACTCTTACCCGCGACTCGTCAAGTACGTAAAGGCATCATGGCAGTGCTCAGTTTCTTGGTACGCTTGGCACGCGATCTACGGCGTGCCCTTGACGACCAACAGATCGCCTCAAACAGCGCCCACCAAAAGGAAGTTACTACAAATAACCGACGTGACGGGCGTCCCGGAGTATACGGGGCACAACCGGCACATCGATGCGACATCACGCCGCTTCCCATTCTCGAGACATCCCCACAGCAACCAAAGGTCTATTCTCCGCTTCGCACTAGACAACGCGCACAGCACCCTCATATCCCAAACGCGTCAGCACGACAGACTATTGTTCGAATAGATGATGGATCTGGGATGCACGACGACATCTTCCAGCACATTATCGATCAGGGCGTCTACAGCATGCGAATGACCGACTACGTTCACATCAGCCTACATCAGGGACGTGGTACGACAACCACGAGGAGGCTGACCAACCAACTGAAGGCGAACACGCAGGAGGGCATCATCGCGGGCATCTGCGCGTACATTCCGACCGCCATTTGGCTCGCCGGGGAATGCGATGAAGAATGGCGGAAGATGACATCAAAACGTACTTCGCTCCACCCATGGGGAGTGCCGAGCATGGGTTAGAAACAACGACATCATCTCGGTAATCAACGGCGACCTCGGAGACACCATCGACATTTCCAGCATATCGCAGAACCTCCAGATCCCCATGATCGTCGCCCATCCAGAAGCAGAGCCCAGCAATCCACATGGTATCGCAGCCTGGCAGACACCCCAGTTGCAGCAGCTGGAAGGTCATCCGGCATCAATAGTACCATAACCATCCGCACCAACGGCATACGAACAAAGGTCCTGGCGACGAACCGTGGACTGGATTGTCAAGGTGAACGTCATGATATGGCCCCATTCATCTCGCACTACATGGACAGGATGATGATCGCTCGGTGGGGGATGGCCGCAACACCTACGGGGACAGCGTCCACGGATACTACGGATAGCAGCAGCACCATCGCGTACTTCAACACTCACCTGGTCTGCGACACGGACAGCAACAACACCATCACGGACAACAGAAACAACACCATCATGGACAACAACACCATCATGAACACCTACATCATCACCGACGCGGACAACAACACCATCACGAACAGCAACCACACCATCATGGACAGCAACCACACCATCACGAACAACAGCACTACCATCGGGGACCCCCCCTCTCCAAGCGGAGGGGGACGGCGAGAACCCCGTCGAGTGAGATACCCCCGTAGAAGGTAGGCTTCCCGCCGGGGGCCAGGACCCAGGATCTCCTCCTCCCTCCTCGCCCATGAGGCTTCCCTCCCTCATTTCCTGTCCTGGCCAGGCTGTGTGCAGCGCTGCTGCCCAGTAAAGACACCTCCGCCCCAGCAGAGTGACTTCGGCGGCGCGGCCGCTGGTACCATCGGGGCGGGGTTGTCTGCGCATGTGGTTGCCCAGGATTCCAGGCCTGACCCCCTCGTCCTGGCCCTCTCTCTTCCCGTGGCCAGGCAGCCTTCCTCCTCCTCTCCTTGGGGGTCAGGCCGATGCCCTCGCCCTGGATCCCGCCTCCTGCCTCTCCCCCTCTTTCGTGCGCCCTGGAGGCATCCTTCCTCTTCCCCCCGCCTCCTTCCTGTTTTTTTTTGTTGCCCTTTGGCTCTGGGGCCCAGGGCTGTCGGGCCCTGTGTGTCCCCTGGCCCTCGTTGGGCCTTCGGCCCCGTTTCGCCTCGGCCTCTGGAGGCCCTCTTGGAGGAATCTCCGCGCGGTCGCGGCGGGCCCGCCGCGCGCCGCCGCTGCGGCAATGCCCGTTTCGGCCGCGGTCTCGCGGAGACCATTGGGCCGCTCGAAAGGCTCGAAAGGAGGAGGAAAAGGAGGCGGGGGAGGCGGAGGCTGAGGAGGCGGAGGCGGAGGAGGAGGAGGAGGAGGAGGAGGAGAGAGTGGAGGAGGAGGAGGAGGAGGAGGAGGAGAGGGGAGGAGAGGAGCGGAGGAGGAGGGGAGGAGGAGGAGGAGGGGAGAGGAGGAGGAAGGAGGAGGAGGAGGAGGAGGGGGAGGAGGGAGGAGGAGCAGGAGGAGGAGGAGGAGGAGGAGGAGGAGGGGGGACTGCTCCCCACCCGTGGGCGCCCCCCCCCGCCCCCCAGTGGCGTGACCCCCCCCACCCCCGCTCGTGGGGCCCGCGCGGCGCTCTCGCAGCGCCACGGCCTCGCACATGGCAGAGCGGCCGGGGCGTGTCGGGCTCGCTCGGCCGCGTGTCCCCACAGCGAGCGGCTCCTGCAGCTGCCTCGCGTGGCAGAGGGGTGGGATACGCTGGGGCGCCGCGCCGCGCTGCCGTGTGTCCCCACCGCGAGCGGCTCCCGCAGCTGCCTCGCGTGGCAGGGGGCGTGGGTTCAGTAGCAATCTAGGCCTCCTCGATGGGGTCCGAGTAGATTGGGTCGGAGGATCGCGCCGCATCGCCGATGCATCGACGATGCGGCTCGATGTGGGGCCCGTGTTTCCCCACGCCGACGTCGCCGATGCATCGCCGACGTCGCCGATGCACCGCCGATGTATCGCCGATGCATCGGCGATGCATTGGCGATGTGGCGCGATCCTTCGACCCCATCTACTCGGACCCCATCTAGGATGCCTGTAAGCAAATTATGGGAGCCTGGTGTACCCCTTGAATTCCGTCTTTAGCGTCGACTGGCGTCGATCAGCCTTCGGGAGTCGATGATGTGTGCCGGTTCAGCGTCGGTTAGCGTCGATTGGCGTCGCTTTAGCGTCGACTTGGCGTCGATTAGCGTCGACGAGCGTCGTTCAGCGTCGATTCGCAAGAGCCGACAAGAAGGTACGGCAGGCTCCCATGAGTTGCCATCGAAGGTGGGCTAGTTACGCATGTAAATCCCGCTCGGGCGCCGCCGGGTGGCCGCGTCCCTAACACGATCGGTTCCATCAGCTGCCTCGCATGGCAGAGGGCTGGGATGCGCGTTTCGCGCGCGAGGGTGCGGCATGCCGGAACAGCCGGGCCAACGAACTCTAGGCCTCCCAAGTGGGGTCCGAGTAGATGGGGTATGTAGTCCCGCTCAGGTTCCGCCGTGTGCCTCGTGCCCTCAGAGTGATCGTCGCATGTCCGGGGCAGCGCTGGAAGCTTTCGGGAGTCTCTGAAGTCCTCGACAGCTTTCCAGGGTTTTCGATCAGCTGCCTCGCATGGCAGAGGGGCGGGGTATGTAGCCCCCCCCTCTTGCGCCGCAGTGTGGTTGTGTCCTCATAGAATTCGCCGCATGTCGGGGGCAACGTCGTTAAGGTTTCTGGAGTTTTCGGAAGTCGTCGACACTTGTCCAGAGTTTTCGGGACCCGGGGTGGTTTCCATCAGCTGCGCCTCGCTGAGAGCGTTCTGGGGGTGCCAGGGTCGTCCCGAGCGGACGCCGGAAGCTTGAATTATGGGCCGAAAGCCGCAGGGAAAACGTCAGGGGGGGGGAGGCTCAGGGGGGATGGATCGACCCCCGCTTGCCCATTCATCGCCGAGAAGGGCCCGATAGCCCACCCCGCCCAGGAGCGTTCGGTATCGCTAAACGGGGCCAATCGCCGATCTATCGGCGATGTATCGCCGACTCTGAGTTGATGCTTCCCCGCCTGAGCTGGCCCCCTCCTAACCTTCTCCCTCAGGATTCATGGCTGTAGTCATGATCGAATGCGTCGGCAGAGGCAGATCCCAAACTCACTCGTGACCATAGCCGCCGTCGTGTGCGTGGCTGTAACTACATGCCGCGTTGGTAGTGGCAGCCTCGGCCCAGATAAATGGCTGTGATACTTCATGCATCGTCATGGTTCCAGCCACGGCCGCTCTCATACCCGCGGGGAGGAGGCACGGTGAGGCTTCGGGCTGCGCACAGAGCCCCTTCAGGCTATTCCAGCTGACCCCAGCACGCCTCCGAGCAGTCTGCGGCTGACTCGACGCCTGCAGGCCGGGGGCGCGGAGCCCCTCGGGGGCGCCGCCGGAGGCAAACGCCGGGGTGCGGAGACCGTCCCAGACTCTGCTTCCGGGGGCCTGCCAAGACATGGCGGGGCTCTGGCGAACGGCCTACGGCCAGTGCTGCCGATCCTGAGGGCGGGACCTTCCTCAGTCGGGGAAACGCAAGACTCGAGTAAGCCGGGATTCGGGTTTGCCGGCG